CATACTATTGCTTTATTTTTTCTTTTAAAGAATTTTTAAATTTATTTTTACTATTTAATAAGTTTAGAGTTGACTAAGTTATAGTTAGGATCAAGCCTAAATTTTCCCCTAAGGCAACCTAATTTTCCCAACACAGTTTATTTAATAAACAATCTCCTGACAATGTTTTCTATGCCATAAGACAAAAAGGTCTAGACATGCAGGTACAGGGACACATTCACATAAGCGAGAATGTTAAACCAAATCCTGTGTGTTAGATTCATCAAGCAGTCATTTGAGTGACAAACAGCAGGTAACAACGTGTGTTTTTCCTGTGATTTTATATGAATGCAGAGAAGCCCTTCAATTTAGAAAATATTTAAGTAGAGAAATGAGGATCGAAGAAAAAAAATCCCAATGATGACTTTATTGTGAAAGGTGAGATGATGAAAATAATTCAGCCTAACTCTGTACCTCTGAATCATGAAGAATTCCACACTCACAAAAGTCACATTTTTCCACCAACCAACTATTTTAGGCAGAGGCAGAAACAAAACAGCTGGCTTCAAAATACTCTCAGAAACAGTCTTCTTCTCAAGCAAGTCTTATAGTCCCTGATGTATTTTAAAAAAACACCTTTTTTCAAAGTAAAGTACTTGTTTTAAGGATAAGATGATAAAATATAAAAATTATTTGAAATAAAGATAGTAGAAACATCATACTATTTTTTTGGGGGGGGTCCAGTTGTGGGGCCTGAACTCTGAGCCTGGGCACCGTCCCTCAGCTCTTCAGCTCAAGGCTAGTGCTCTACCACTTGAGCCACAGCGCCACTTGTCGCATTTTTCTTTTTGCTTATGTGGTGCTGAGGAATCGAACCCAGGGCCTCAGGCATGCAAGGCAAGCACTCTACCACTGAGCCACCTTCCCAGCCCCATATCATACTATTTTTATTACCATTCAGCCTACGTTCTCTTCTAAGTTATTTTACATGAAGTTTTTTTAAAAGATAATGTGATTAAGTTTATGAAAACTCATATTACTATTATATTCTGAAATCTCTCAATTGTATATGTCTAATTGTTTTGGCCTATTACTAAATAAATATTATTTATTGTGGTGCAGAAAATTTAATATTAACTACTTACATTAGCCTAATAAGAATAGCTTAATATTTATTGATTAAAGTCTCAGACATATTGTAACTTCCTTTTCATCCACAAAATGTAAGACCTTTGCTCTGATATTCTTTTTTTTTAATTTTTTATTTTTTGGTCGGTCATGGACTTGAATTCTGGGCTTGCGCGCTATCCCTGCACTCTTCAGCTCAAGGCAAGCACTCTACCCCTTGAGCCACAGCACCACTTCCAGTTTTCTGGTTGTCAATTGGAGATAAGAATCTCACAGACTTTTTGCCTGGGCTGGCTTCAAACTGTGATCCTCAGTTCTCAGCCTCCTCAGTAGCTAGGATTACAGGCGTGAGCCACCAGCGCCCAGCTCCTCTGATATTCTTACGAGAGGAACACAAAGGTGCAATACCTATATCATCTGATCATAAAAATATATAATAATATATAATATATATTTATACATGTAATATATATAAATATATAACAATATAAAATGAGCTCTAGGAAATGGAAATAAGAGGATTTCTTTCTTTGCTGCTGTTTTTGTTTTCTTTTCCTTTTGCCTTATTTCTTTGTTATTTATCTTTAGGAAATGGATGGACAGGGGGGCAAACAAATGTAGCAGTGATATTTACCATACACTATGCTGAAAATGAACTATACAACTTGTGGGTGGACTGGAGAGAAAAACTGGGAGAGAGTGATGGAAGGGGAGACATTGTTCAAAAAGAAATGTAGTCTTTAACTGATTTATATAACCCTTCTGTACATCATCTTTATAATAACAATTAAAAATGCATTTTAAAAAAGACCTTTCCTCTGTAGTTTTAGAGACTCAAGTTTCTCAAACTGCTCCAAGTCCCCAGATGTATAAAATCAGAGGATGCTTTCAGTTCTACCTTCCTTGGGCTCTGGGATATGAGCAATTACTTAAGTCATACTTTTCTTTGTGAGAAAGACACCTGTTCTAACAGATTTGGATGGGACATGGTCTTCCAAAAGGCTCACATGATCTCTAGCTAGTAGTAATTCTGGAGGATAATGGATAATAAGGTTGTTAGCCTTATTAATGGATTAATCTGCTAGTGAGCTCACTGCTGAATGGGTTAATTAGGAGGTAGGGACTGGTTAGAGGAAGTACGCAGGGAATCTACCTTGCTCTGGCCCCTCCCCCCCCCCCCCCCCCGCTTCTTGGCTATCATAAAACAAGCAGCCTTTGCTACAAGCTCCCACAGCCATGATGCTTTGCTTCTGTCTTAAGCACCAATGTGGATCCCACTGACCTCAAATTAAAACTTTTGGAATCATGAGTCAAAAGAAGTTATTCTTCCTTTAAGTTGCCTTTTTCAGGTATCTTGTCAGCAACCACAGCAACAAAAAATATCTAACACAATAACTTAACTATCAGTAATTTCCATCCATGGTGGGAGCGTATAACAGATGCTTAGAAATAAAACCGCAAGAATTTGAGGTATATTTGCTCACATTTCTTTTTTCTGGGCTACAGTTCACATGGAGATATTTCTACATCCCACATTCAAACACTGCCTCAATGTACTTGATTTTTCCCTGACTTTCATCTTTAATCGTTTTTGAAGTCTTGCTTTTAGGCTTCTATGTTTTCTTAACAGAAGTTAATAATTCAGTGTTACTCTCCAACATGTAAGCCCAAATCTTTTCTCTCTTGCTAAGTTCTAGGCTCTTGGGATTCACTTGAAGTTTAGAGTAGGAGATGGAGATGGCTGTACAAAGACCATGCTGAGAAGCACTGCCTGCCTGCTTGTGTTATGTTTCTTGTCTCCCTCAGTAACCACTAAACCTCAGTAGGAGTGATCATGAGAATTTGTTGAAATATAGGCCCCCCAGTCCCCAGGACTAAAGCGTGCTCCTCGTGATTGTGATGTGGCAGTACTCTGACTATATGTGATGTTCTGCCTTGCACACTCCCCATAAACTCTGCGTGACAATGCTCTTCTTCCAACAAGAGAGAGAGTCTACTTTCATCTCAGTGAGTCTGTTCTTGTAACCTGCTTTGGGGATTCTATAGAATGGAACTGCCATTGTGCTGTCGCAAGCCTTCCTTGTTCCCATACCTGCTCCTAGAATTATGCCATTAACTGCTATGGCCAGGCAAGCCTGCTGTATGAGCACTGTCAGCCATGTAAATGAGGCCACTGTAAAGCACCCAGCACCCAACCGACCACTGAAGGGACTGTAGCTTGCCAGTAGGACAAAATAAAGCAGCCTGGCCTAGTTGATCTCCACACTTTGTGTGTGTGTGCGTGCGTGCACATGTGCGTGAGCACATGCATACATGTGTGTATGTGAGCACACGCTTAGCACTGGGGCTTGAACTCAGGGCCTGGGTGCTGGTATTGAGCTTTTTTTTCCTCAAGGCTAGTGCTCTACCACTTGAGCCACTTTCAGCTTTTTTGGTAGTTAATTGGAGATAAGAGTCTTACGGACTTTCATGTCCAGGCTGACTATGAACCATTTGCCACATCCTGATAGAATACGGATACCTAATAGCTCTAATACTCTTCACCTGAGAAATAAGTTATCATTTCTACACGCTGGCCATTTTCCCAATTCAGACTATTACAGCATGTAGGCTTGAGTTTCCATTTACTGCCCCCACTCCCATGCACACTGCTGTGCCACAACTGCATTCCTTAAAGTTCGGAATGGTCATCCTTCAGTATTCTCTTAAAGGGGCACAACACTCTGTCAGTGTTCAGTCCTTGCTTACAGAATTATGGTTGTCAGATCAGAAAACGGCCCTGAAAACAATGCTCTCCGGATCAGAACTCTATTAGCAATGACATCCTATGTTGGATATATTGTCCATGGGGCCTGTTTAACCCTAGGACTTCTGCCCAGAGGACCCAGTCTAGAATCCCACTCTTAGTCCTCTACTCAAAAGTGAGGGCAGGATATGAACACCCTTATTTCTTCTGTGTCCACGATGACAGACTCCTGGGTAGAATGCACTGTGAAATGTGTTTATACTTACGTAAATTCTTCCCAGTTTTGAAGGTTCAGCTCAAGGGACGCCTCTTCCATACAAGTCTGATGGCTGCATTCAATATAAAGCTTACTGCCTTCTCTTTGCCTCGGTGCCTCCCTCCAGCCTCTCCTAGGCACCTGATATTGAGGTTACTTATTCAGCATAGCATCTAGCACGAATGTACTCTACCAGAAATTATAAACATTTTGGGAGCAGATTCCATCTGTTACCAGTGTTCTCCTTGTTGTCTAGCACAAGCAAAAGTGCTTAGTGAATGAATGGGTGCTTTTTAGTCACTAAAAAGCCCAATAAAAACAGGAATATTCAACCTCATAAGCCAGACCAAGAACAAAGATGGTAGAATACGTTTATCAGTTCTCACATACCAATTTATAAAAATAAGTCTTCTGGAATGCCTGTTAGAAATGAAAATCCCTAGGCTCTGTGCCTGCAGAGATTGATTGTGTGGAATTTACAGCTGAGTTTGGATCCCAGACAACCTATGGGAAATTTATGGACCATACTGATAGAGTGATACAAGAACTGCTCTACAGACAGGAGTTCCAAAGGAGTCCTTCTCTAGGCACACAAGATTATTATTTTTTAAGTTTCTTGACTTCAATGTCAAATCACTGAGTATAGTGGGCCTATAAAAAGATCCACTTTAACAGCACACACACACAGTCTGGCACCTTATTAGCATGGGTTGCTGGGAATATGGCATCACACCCCATTCTTTGTAATCACAACCTGCACACATTTTTTCCACCTATACACCCTTTTCATAAACTATTTAAAGTTTAGTTTGCTACAAATAGTCCTTTTTTTCAGACCACCTCACCACATGAAGCCTGCTTTAAAATAACCGAAAGGTGTAGAAGTCTTACCTCGGTCCCAGAGGCTGGCTCTTAGTGCTCTCTCCAGCTGTTCCTCCTCGCTCAGTCCTGCAGTGTACACATCATAGCTCCTGGCAGCCTCTTCATAATGCCCTGGCCTGCTGTACGGGTAATGATCCTGATACCCAGAGTGGCCTAGAGGCAAAATGAGAAGGTTACAGAAAACAGCAAATGACTGTTCTTTTGTTCCAGATTTCCTACTTCCTATAAACAAACACAATCAAATAATTCATGTGATTATTTTGAACATGGTAAAATGCCTCAAGAAAAGAAAAAAATGACAAATAGAAAATGCCTCCATGAGGATGCAATGTGATCAATAAAAAATAGGGTAGAACAAGGCACCAGTGGTTCAAGTCTGTAATCCCAGATCCTCAGGAGGCTCTGATTTGAGGATCACAGTTCAAAGTCAGCCCAGGCAGGAAAGTTTGTGAGACTCTTATCTCTAATTATCCACCAAAAAAGCCAAAAGTAGAACTGTGGCTAGCCTTCAGAGTGCTAGCCTTGAACACAAAAGCTCTGGGACAACATTCAGGACTGGTATGAAAAAAAGTAGATAAACAAAAAAAGAAATACCTAACTAAAGTATCCCTGTAATAGCCCATTAATAAAATCAATAATAATAGAGTAAAGTTGACTTTTGGAAAATACTTCTGTCAAGCTTTAGTCAGTTTGAGTTCATTACTTAAATTGTCTTTACAATTACAGAATTAGTTTTGAAGAGATATTTTCCTATCTCATTCTGACATGACGTGAAGGTATTGTTTAATTTCTCTCCTCTATCTTATCATTCTTCTCTTTGAAAGATGTTTCATATGTTTAATTGAGTATAGTGATGATGAAAATCCCTGAATTTTACTATGAGTCTTGTGTCATATAGCATCATATCATTCACCATAGTTCATGCTTGAGTTGAACTTCAGTAAAACTATAGAAAAAAAAGAACCACCCACAGGTCAAAAGGAGTACAGCCAGCTCATTCCTGGAATTCAAGTTAGGTGGTAAAGATAAAGATGGTGGTAAAGGTCGAGGTCAGCCTGGGCAAAATGAAAGAGAGATCCCAACTCAACTAAAAAAGCTAAGTGTTGCACATAATTTCTCCCTAGCTATGTGGGAGACATAAATAGGAGGATTGTGATCCAGGCCAGTTCAGGCAAAAATATGAGGCCCTTTTGAAGAAGTAAAAAAGACCAGGAGAATAGCACAGGTGATAGAGTACCTGCCTAGAAAGCACTCAGTTCAAACCCTAGAACTGCAGAAAGGGGGGGGGGAGGGGAACAAAGGAGGAAAAGAAGGAAGGAAAGATAGAAGGTAGGAAGGAAGGAAGGAAGGCAGAAAGGAAAGAAGGAAGGAAGGGAGGTAGGGAGGGGGAAAGAAGGAGGAAGGGAGGAGAGAAGGAAGGGAGGGAGATAGAGGGGAAGGGAAGGAGGAAAGACCATGATTAAGTGATAATTTTTATTCAGAAATTTTGATAATTGGTCCTGAGGCTATTTTGAAATTTATTTTTATACTAGATATAAGTAAAATACTTTCCAAATACACAAAACTGAGAGAGAAACACTTTATAACTCACAACATTTTCCAGTGCTCCAGAATTCTTTAATACAAATAATAAAACACTTCTTTGGGCTGATAACCTAATATGTATATTAATATTTGTCATGCAAAGTATTTATGTCATTTTATACACACACACACACACACACACACACACACATATTTTTGGTGATGCAGAGATAGAACTCAGGGGACATACATGCTAGATAAATACTCCACCACCCAGCACCATCTCAGTTGTACTGAGATACACTGACTGAGAATTAATGTGCTAGAAACTTCATCCTCAGTTAATGTTATTTGGAAGTAACTGAGATAAGGCCTCATCAGGGTAACCCCCACCAGGATGGTATTAGTGGCTCTATAAGAGGAAAGGAGGTTTGAACTAGCCCACTTGTTCTATCTTACCGTGTGAGGCTCTTTGCCAGGTTATGATGTAGAAGGCAGCCCTGTTCAGTTGCTAAATGGATTCCAGTACCATTTTCTTCACTTCCCTGCCTCTAGGGTCATGAGCTAATTTAACTTCTATTCTGCATGAACTACCAAGTCTGTCTTATTACAGAAACAGAAAATAGACTATGATAGTGTTTGCTTATGTATTCACCAGTGTGCAATGCAATGGTTTTTAGTATGCTCATACAGTCATATCATCACCATCACCATCATCATCATGACCACCAATTTTATTTTTAGTAACCTCCAAAAGAAATGTGTACTATTTTAGCATATACCCTACAACTTCCCATTCTTTTCAGCACTAAGTAATCACTACTCTATTTTCTGCTTCCACAGAGATGTCTATTCTGGACACATCCTATCAACAGGATCACATGACATATAGTAAGTGTGTCTGGCTCATTTTACATAGTGAAACATTTCAGGGGTCATCAGTTGTGTACCAAGCATCAGTATTTTATTCCTTAGTAGGGTCAAATCATATTCCACTGTATGGACACATCATATTTTCTTTATCTTCACATCAGTTGGTAGAAATTTAGACTAATTCTACCTTATTATTATGAATAATGCTGCTATAAACAATGTTTTGTGTGGACCTATGTTTGCATTTCTAGTAAGTCTATATCTAGAGGGTCACATGGTAATTCTGCTTAGCTATTTCAAAAACTACAAGACTGTTCTCCAAAGTGGTTGAATCATTTTCTATTTCTCCAAGCAGTGTGTGAAGGTTCTGACTTTTGTGTGTGTGTGTCGGTCATGGGGCTTGAACTCTGGGCCTGGGCGCTGTCCCTTAGCTCTTCAGCTCAAGGTGAGCACTCTACCACTTGAGCTACAGCGCCACTTCCGGTTTTTTAGTGGTTTTATTGGAGATAGGAGTCTCACGGTCTTTCCTGCCCAGGCTGGCTTTGAACCGCGATTCTCAGATCTCAGCCTCCTGAGTAGCTAGGATTACAGGCGTGAGCCACTAGCGCCCGACAGGTTCTGACTTCTGTATACTTTCACCGACATCAGTTATTCTTCAGCTTTTAAATTTTAATTATAGCTATCCTAATGAGAATGAAGTGGTATATCACTGGAGGTATTTTTGTGTTTGCTTTTTTACACAGAGTCTCATTATAGAGCTCAGGCTAGCTTTGAGCAACTTTTTAATGTATTTATTGGCAGTTAATATATCTTTTCATGAGAATGTCTATTCTGATACTTCGTGCATTTTACTGATTACCACAATACTAGCTTGGTTCTACTTTATTGAATTTCCTAGAGGTAACAAAAACTAAACTTCAAATAAAATGGCTTAGGATATTATAGGGGATAATTCTGAAAGGATTTTCTCTAACTTCATTAAAAGTCAGGGGATTTACTAAATACTTCCAATAATTCAACTATATTCCCTTTATATGTTTCCTTTGTCAGAACGTCAAACATTTTTGATACTTAAAAGAGGAAAAGGAGGGAATCAGGAGGAAGATAGAGGAGAAGCTGGAAGGTAAACAAGCTCTCACATAGAAAGCAGTTTTAGTGTTCCAGTGAACAGTCCTAGGCTAGAAAATCACACCAAGTGTGCTATCACAGTACAGAGAGTTTGGCCAGAGAGGAAAAATCCAGGCAGCTTGGTCAAGGAGACAGATCTGAGCACTTGCTGGTGTCTGTGGCAGCAGTGGTGGCTGTTGCTGCGGCTGCCATATCGACAGAGAGAGCCAGGGACAAAGGCACCAGATGTGTGTGAGCAGATTCTACTCAATGCCAGCAAGAACTGACAAGAAACAGAAATCTTCATCCTGCTGATCACAGACCATGGACAGCCCAGAAACCTGAGGCTGGTGTGAGTACCACCAAGACATCCTCACTCCTTCTCAAGGAGCATCAGTGGGAAGGTAGCCCTTCCCCCACCACTGGAGAAGAATTCCATCTTTGATACCGACAAAGGCCAGACCTGAGCAGCTAGCTCCAACTCAGGCCTTGGAAGAAAACAATAGGAGCCATTCAACTGGTCACAGGAACCTGACATGAACTGCCAGGCTCACCTCCACCCAGGGAAAGTTGCCCTTCCCAGGCAGAGACGGCTCTGCCCCAGGAAGAGTGACTTTCTTCATTGGGTAAATGGAGCCAGAGGCTGCCCCTCACACCATTGCAACCTAGGCAGCATGCCCAGCAGCAGGAGGGGTAAAAGAAAAATGATTGAAACTCAGTAAACATAAATCCTGAGAATGGTTCCAGGCTGGGCAATGTGAGTGTCTCAGGAGCTAAACCCTCAGGAAAAAGCTACTGATTGTTGATAGGCCTCACCCCCACCCAGAACTTAGCCTCTTCACAGTAACTTCAAGCTAGAGGAAACAACCATCTCCCTCTTTTGTGATACTCAAAGCAGATCCCTCCCACTGAACTAGCCCGGGAGGAGCATCACAAAGTCCTGGGTAAGGCAGAGCTTTTTTCTGCCTGCTCTAACTAACTTAAGAAACCAATCAAGCCACAGGAAAACCAAACACCACAAGCAAACCAGTGACTCCACCAAAAAATCAAAGAACTCTCTTTTCTACCTAATTTTTAAAATTATATTTATTTTTTTCTTTCATAATTTTTATTTTAGGTGTGTGTGTGTGTGTGTGTGTGTGTGTGTGTGTGTGTGTGTTTAAATCTCTTTTAAACTTTTGGTCTTTTTTTTTTTGCGTGACTTAATTGCTGTCCTGCTCATTCCCAGATATTCACCTGTCATCATCGATTATTAACTTATCCTTCATTGTGTACATACTTAATTCAGAAATTGATTATTCAATTCACAACCTCTTAGGCTTAACTTCTTTAATAGTAGTATTATTTCTTTATACCTATATAATTTTTAAATATCAATTTTTTATTTTTTTTCCTTTTTCCCTCTCCCCTCCTCTCATTCTAGCCTTTTCTTCTACCACTTACATAATTTTTAGTTTCAGTTTTTAAATTTAAATTTTTGTTTTTTGATTTTTTTTCTTCTTTATCTCTCTCTTTTCATTCTATTCTATCCATTTCCTCTCTGAGATTAGGACTTGGTTAAATTCATTCACTCTTTCCTTTTACCTCTCCACATCACTCTAATCCTATTTTCCCCCACAATTCTCCCTAAACCTATTAATTTCTGGTCT